GAAAATCCGGTTTTCTATGTGCTCATAGCGATTCCTCGCCTACCTATTGCGTCGGGTCTCGTCCATTTAATATCTCGCGAGATTACGCAACGGTCTGAGTCCAATGCTTATCTAGCACTTGAAACTCAAGCCTCAGTGTGTCATCAGCTGCGGAAATAAATGCGATAACGCCACATTTCTAGTTGTTTCCTCAGTGTTTTTCCATAAATAGAGGTTCCTCGATCGCATCCCCTTTGCCTATCACCTTTATCACGCAGAACAAACCAATTTAATTAACTTTAGGCGCAAAAATTCCAAAGAGCAATCCCTCTTGGAACAGCTCGTTATTTCCAAGGAAGAAAATACCTTCGGCTCATTATTTGTTCGAGCATGCAAAAAATGCCTGCCACGCTTTCAGTCCAGTGAACCCTCGGTACACCGCCATCTTCGCTCATCGCCAGCTCTTTCCTCCCGACAAATCATCCCCATGGGCTTATAATGGGCCTATCCCCGTTATAGCACCATCTTCGCAAGCCGCCATCCGCCAACACCATTTTTCATACAAATGTGCAGTAAATGTTCCACGTAAATCCTCCTCTGCAGGATATCCATTGTATAGAAATACGCTCAGCATGACAATGACAGTACCAAGAAGGAACTTGACTGTCAGAGGCACATCAAATATGAAATAAGATGCAAGGCAGCTCAGCACAATTGCAAGGTGGGGGGGGGGCGAGTGGGGGGGGGGGGGGGGGGGGGGGGCACAGGACAAAGTGTAGATGCTACACAGCTGCCCTTATCCAGAATGTACATATCTAAGTATCTGTTGCCGACTGCTCCGATCGCGTCATAGAGCGACCACGAGAGATGACTCGTGCCCATAGAATGGATAGTTCATGAGAAAATATGGAATGTCGGAAGAGGCTAAGGGTAATAATAATAATAATAATAATAATAATAATAGCTTCTCGTTCATTTAGTCAGTGAGTCCTTTGGAGATTTCGGTATTGCAGGCAATAGTATATTGTGGTTCATTCGATGTAGATTCGATTAGATATATCGAAAAACGGCGACGACCAAACAGGGACGTTCGAGGGTTCACTTGGCTTGTAGTTACTAGTAAAAACGTTAGGAAAGTGCCTTCGTGAAACCTGATGGGCGACTGCAAACTTTGCTGAGTTCTAGAAAAAGCTGCCGGTTGCAACAGGCAAGATCCCGAAAATCCTTTTCATCAAGCTTTGTTCATCCACTTCTCGGAGATTTCGGCAGTAATCCGTATTGTAGCTCCAAAACTGTTAACTCAATTATCTCAACGTTACCTCGAGTCTCAGTTACCTCAATAATATAATTATCCATTCACATTATCCTCCCCCTCAATTCTTACGTTTTATCACGCACGTATGCTGCGCCTATTCATGTAGAAACACCCGAGTCTTTAATTTTTCTTTCCCTGAGCTCAGTCATGATTGCATGAGATTGAGCTGTCTTTGCAGCAAGGGAAGTCGAAGGTGCTGTCAAGATGTCATCCAGTATGTGGTTGAAGCGTGCGTTGTACCCACGCGAATATTATGACGCAGATAACAGGATTGTTTCTCATTTTCCTTGAAAGTGATCGTATGACATCTCTGTAGGTATATAATTGTGCAGACGTGTTCCCGCTTTTAATTTAGAGGCATTTTCAGAATTTTATGTCGAACTGCTGTCGACCGAAGTCGTCGACGATTAGCCATGGCGCCAAAATAAGCCTGAAGTAGGTCTAGCCTCACGGCTAGCTTGTGTGATTTCATAAACGTGGGCTCATGTGGTCGGAATTACGGGGAGCATGAAGAGGTTATTTGTAAGAAGCACATCGGACCGTGTGAAGTTGGAATTACACGTACAAGGTGCAATGTTAAATTAGCCCCCGCTCCTCCAGTAGCCGAAATGCAAGGATGAAGTAAAGGAAACTATTTCTAAACGTAGCATTCATTTTACATTTAGGAACTAAGTCTTGAACAGCATGAAACACTAAATTTTACTATATTCACTATGAATGGAGAGAGCCTTGATGTTCTTATTGATATAAATTTCCTCTGCAAAGTAGACTGCTTAACGTTAAATACCAGCAATTTTTCTGCTTACTGGCCTAATTGATAAATTAAAAAAAATTGCCCTGCCGTGTCCTAGTCTCTTCCACTTGGGCAGTTCATATGCATCTAACAATCAATCTCTGGGTCACTCTTTTCTTGGCTTGGGCCTAGGCCCTAAGTTATGGCCTCTCCAGGAATACACCTAACATCACCAACATGGTAGCTGCCATTAGATTGCTAGTTCAATCATTTTCTCCATACTACAGCAATGGAGCTTTATCCTAATCATCTCCTAAGACACTTTGGCTTTACATGTGACATGCATGTATTGGCCATCATTCCACTTGCACACACATGTACAAAGTGACTGCTTTTTCTCTTATGTCCATGGATGGTGACTTCCAAGTAGGCATCCTTTGTACTCACCATTCATGTTGCTTCCTTATGCAAGTCATTGGCTTGTGCTGGCCGAGCGCGAGGCTTGCTGGTTTGACATGCAAACCTCATTTCGATTAGCCTAGGGAGTGAACTCAACAAGGTGGGATGGTCCCACATTCAGATCAGTAATAACACAAGCGATGCTGTGCATTGTGAGTTTGGCAGCCTCCAAGCCCCCAAGTGGAGGTCAACAAAGAGTTGTGAAGTGTTGATGGCAATTTTGGGATACACAGTGACTGCCGTGTTGTTGACGTTAGCCCTATAATTCACCTATGACCAGGTACCTATGGCCCATCAGACTCCAAGGCTTCAGGTCTGCAATATATAGGACAACCAGTAAATTGATTTCACCACTCAGAATTGTACCTTAGCATTATGAGTTTTAAGTCTTTAGTCTTGATAATTAGTTTATAGCACCATATGAATTATGGTTATGCCTCCAGCATCACATTTTAGGGGGACAAGTTCATAGATTAGAATAGCTGCAAACATGATTGTCATCATTGCAGGGAATGGCAGACATTTGGATAATTTACTTTATTAACCCTTTCACAGTTACGCACTGTAATATCAGTCCACGGAGGTTTAGGAAAAACTGGACTGAAAGGGTTAACAGCTATTCCAACCTATGTGATGTCCAATTTGAACATTATAGGTGATGAAATTGAACCCTTAATCCTTCTCCCTTTGGTGTAATGAATAGCTCCATCAAAATTCAAGGTCACTAAATCCATGTTGCATTACTGCCTTTCAGTAGCAAAATCAATTTATTGGTCACCCTGATATCAATTGGGTGGGGGGAACTCCTGTGTTACATCATACATCTTCTTACTTCTATGTGATATCACTTCTTTTTTAAACTGGACAAGGGATAATAAAAGTCTTTCTGATAATGTTGCTTCACTAATTTTGGGATTAACTCTTGGCTGGAAAAGAGTGATACCTAGTGAAATACATAAGGAAGGTAGGTTCCAACTTCTGGAGTAAGAATTCTTTCAAGGCATTGAACTGAATAAGAAATCTCTCCTATTTGCATAATCTTATTCAAAGGGCAGTAGTTATCAGAGGTTCATATTCTCCCTTGTCTGTTATTCATGCAGCTTTTGTAACATCTGCTTCTATATCCTGGGTAACTCCCCCTGCCTGCCTGTTATGGAGCCCTCATGATGGTTACGGGAGGTAGTTCCTAAAACTTTTTTTTTTAAGTTTCGTGTATGTCAAACAAGGAAGAAGTTATGGGTGTATCAGCCTGTAGCTCACAAATTGCCAAGAAGAATATTTCTGAAACAGTCCAATAGAGGAAGAGTGCTGGCTGTCACTCTTTCATTTCATACTCAAAGGATAGAAGAGATATGAAGAGCAGGAAACTGCTGCAGCACATACTTCATGCAGCTTCCCAATCTATGCTACCCTGGCTGAAACATTGACTTTTGATACTCAGTATCAATGAACCCATGACATTTTTGCTGGATCCCTTTCTTCTATGGATTTTATCAAACCAATAAAGGATATTAAGAATTAAGTCCATGATGGTCATGGCTCTCTAGTAAATGCTAAGTAATCCTTATCCCTGGTATCATATGAACACTGCACCCAGAATTCTTATTCAGCAACTGGACTTTCTGAATTGTTCCAACATTACAAGCAGCACTAGTACTGACAAGCATATACATTTCTTCCAACTGATTCCATACTAGAGTTTCCATGGCAGTAAAATTTCCTTTAGCCTTCACATCAGGATATAAAATTATCTCTTGGTAAAGGGCAAATTTAGAAGCTGCTTTACCATGCCCAACATCAAAGATCCTACCTGTTAAGGATAGGGATAATGTCTTTTGCACATCATTGTCATTGCTTCTATTGACATTCAAATGGAAGGGTTATTGATGCTGATGGCAAAAAAATGGCCTGATCCATAACCTAACAAGTGGGGCTGAGACATGCTTTTCAGCATGATGAAACAGATTGTTTTACATTTTTCTTTTTTGCTGCTTCAAGTTATGTGTGACTTTGTTAAAAAAAAAATTGACATATCTGCTGGATCTGACCTGGAGATTCACTAATTTGCATTTTTGTAGCCAGGAATAGTCATTCTTGAGATATGTGATGATACTAGAATTTCTCACAGATACCAACAGTTGCAGCTTCAACTTTCAGCTGACAACCTATTCCATTCCACAATTACCCTCTGTGTCATGGGCATCCTTCATTCATTCATTCATGGGTACAAAGGAAGTCACACAAGTATAGTATGTACACTTCACATTTTACACAGTTCCTGCATTTTTTTTTACTCTTGGCTGGCTCAAAATCCAAATCATAATATATCCTGTTGAAAGAGTGCATACTCATTTTTCACCTAAGCCTTTGTGCCATACATTGTCAATTGCTGGTCTGATTCCATTTCAGATCCTGTCTGAAATTGATTTTCCTTTGTATCCTCATTGTGTTGTCTCTTACCTAACTATTCATGAATCTGAATGATTCATTGTGGTCCATAATTATTGCCTTCGAATGGAGATACCAGATGATATAAATGACATGGAGCTCAAGAATTTGCTCAGCCCTGCTGCTGCACCTAGAAGACTCTTAGGTGATCCACTAGCAGTGTCTCCTGGTAAAGCAGTCAAGCCTGTGAGAGGTAAAGGAAAGGGAATAAAGGCAGGCAGGATTGGTAGAACTAATAAAAGACCCAACTATTTTGTTGCTTTTCGCATCTGGGACCCAATGATCCATCTGCAAGTGAGAGCCCTACAAGAGAAGATTATCAACCAGGAGGTCAGTCTCTTGCCAGCTTGTATTCCCCTCTCAAGTCTCCATGTGACTTTGTTTGTGATGCACTTATCTGGGAAGGATGAAGTGAGTGCAGCAAGGAATATTGTCCTTGGCTGTGAAGACCTTTGGACAGCTGCATCGCCAACAGGTGATATCACTCTGGAGTTTGAGGGGATCCAACATTTCTCAAATCAAGTGATGTACTTGGACAATGTTGAAAGTGAAGGGCTGCAGGCTTTCAAGGCATTTCAGGAAGCTCTGAAAAGCAGATTTGTGGAAAATAGACTTCTGCCCCAATCTGAAGAGCTATTCAAGCCCCATGTGACTGTTTTAAAGTTGTCAAGAATGCATAAGGTCAAAGCATCTCACATGAGTTCACTGAAGAAAGCAGTGAAGAAGTGTTGCACCATGGGTTCTAACATAAACTTTGGCAAGCAAAAACTTGGACCCCTTCAACTGTGCTCCATCAGTGGACAAAGTGACAAGACCAGCCTGTTTTATCAAACTATGGCCATGCTTCCAGTTGGAAGTGAGACAAGGACATGGGCTCAGGGAGAGCACATTGAATGCTGCTTGAAGCCCTTGATGCCTAAGCAGTCCTTCCTCCATTCATTCCTGGTAAAACTGAAGGCCTTAAAAGATACAGTAAGAAGGGTGGTTCGAGAATCCTTGAGTTTAGGTGACCAGGAACAATTTGGATCTATAGGTATCATCCTGGGAGCAGTGCTACTTGCATCTGTTGCTATTGGTGCATCCCTTGCTAGAAAATAGTGTATCTAGGCCTATGCGCTCTTCAGATTGCTGCCAAGTTTCAGTTTGATTTTCCTAAGTTGCTGTTCAGAGAAAATCCTTCAAATTATTGGTGGTAAGAGGCAATAAAGGAGGCCTACATGAAGTGAAATTTTTTCCTCTTCAGTTGCAATAAAGAAATAGTATATGGATCCTCCATGTTGAGGATCTTTGGGCTGTGATGGGCCTAAGAAAATACTAAATCCTATTACCTCTTAATTTGACTCCATTTCTTGGCCTTTTCAAGTAAAGAAAATCAAAGCATTGTTCAGTATCATTCCTGTTTTATCTTTTCATTTTGATTCAGGTTAATGTGTGCATTATTTGGAATTTGTTGAAAATGAGTGAGAGCAGGCCGGTAGATATCCCTAATTTGAAGAGGCATTCCAATCATGAAAATAACTTCTCCCCAGAGGGATCCCCTGGCTTTCATGGCTTGAAGCTTCCAAGTCCCCTCATTACTCGGAGAACGAGGTCCAATTCAACGTAAGTACCATTTGCATGATGGCTTTGTCCTGTCATGCTTTTGCAATCGGCTTCAGTTGAAGTTGAATCTGAGTCTCATCCACAGCTTTGTTTTCAAGTGCTGGAAACAATCAATGAAGAGTGAAAACTGGACCATCTATAGTTTGTAAACCAAAGTTTTACATGAGGGGTTGATTATATGATAGGTCTGAACGTGCATTGGCCAACCCACTCAAAGTGGGGACGATCAAATACTTCAGTCGGTCCAGAGGCCATGGCTTCATCACTCCAGAAGATGGGGGAACTGACGTCTTTGTCCACATCTCTGAGTGAGTGCTTCTTCCTCCCATTCCTCCTTTCATTTATGGGATGCTACAAGAAACAATTCAGTTTTCCCTGCTTTTTGGAACCAATAAAATTTATTATTTCTTAATTTTTAATTAGTTCATGATGCTGAACCATTCAAAGAGTGCCTATCAAATCACTTTTTCTTGGAACTTGCTGTCTTTATAGAAGATATTTAATTTTCATTTCCATGTTGGGTTTATGCTATCTTTTGCAAATGTCATGGTTCCACCTGTGCTTGTCCCTGCTGAATGGTTGTTCTTTATATTTCATGATGGCCTCTTTTAAGTAGGTTTTATTGATAATTTTTTCTCATTCAGTATCGAGGGGGAGTATGTTCCACGACATGGAGATGAGGTGCGCTACAGAATCTGTCCCATCCCCCCCAAGAATGAAAAGTTTCAGGCAGTGCACGTTCAAATCATCCACTTCTGCCCTGAACGTCACACCAAATGGGCATCTGCTGTCTTGGATGAGGATGCTGATGAGAGTCCGGATGGTGAAACTGCTCATGCCCCTGCAGGAGACATCTGAACTGGATCATACATTACAAATGATGGTGCATGCATTCAGAAGAAACAAAGCAACAGGTCCTCAAAAACAAAGCAGCAAATCCTCAATCACTGTAAGGCACTCCTTACTGTGGTCCCTCTTGAATATAGGAAACGAGGGCAAATGACAGAATGTTGGCTGAGCATGCATCTCAACTTCCATACCTGTGGTGTAGCATTCAGTCTTGTTTCTTGCTCAATGGCATCCTGAGCGTGCTATTGTTCTGTCTTTTCTTTTTTTTTTTACATTCCCTTCTGTGTGGGTCTCCCTTTTTTTTGCAATATGTTTTTTCTTTGTTAATATCTTTCTTGAAAGGTTGCTTTGGGTTGCAGGTTGCATTACATTCAAATTTGGATTAAAGTGCTTGAGTCTTCTCTCCTTATGGATGCCATTTTCTTTTTAAATAAAAATGCTTGATGCAAGAGCCCTCTGCCAGGCTTCAAATCCCTCTTAAGATTGTATCCTCTGTTCTTTGATTCTAAAATGCCACCATGTCTTTGAAACTTCAAAGATGTTATCTTACTGGACGCATTGACCTAGGTTGAATAGTTTGATCTCATAAGAGTTGTATATACCGTGTTTTCTTGAGATTTGACTTTCTCTGCATTTCCTTCATTACCTAGGATATACATGATATCAATCCCACTCCTAGATACCAATATGTGGTGGGGGAGGGGGGAAAATGGTGAAGAAGAGAGAACTCACAGATCAGATTAGATCTGGGGCTTGGCAGTGATAATTTCCAGCTCTAGCAGCCCTTCCATTCCATCAAAGCATTCAAAGCAAATGTCATCTGAGAAGTTCATCTCTTGGTCCATTCTACTTTCAAAGATGTTAATTACAGCACTCCTTTGAATACTGGGGAATTTCTTTTTTGTGCCATTTAATGCTGAAAAAAAGAAAGTCAGTCATGCAGTAAGGGATTAGATGGAAAAGGAATAAATAACCTAATAACTCCAGGAGTATTTGTCTAGTTAAATTATATACCAAATTGGGAAGTGAATATTGTATCAATTTTCTGAGTGGTACATGCTGAGAAAGTTGTCCACAGAGATTCAAAGTTCAGAAGAGGAAGTGTAATACTCAAGGATATATGGTATTGGTAAGACTTTATTTTTGGACAGTAATTTTTTCTCCCAGTGCCATCTGGTACTTATTGAAATTCTTCCAAGTTTGAAGTTCATGTTCAGTTTTGCTTCATATTGAATGCTCATGTGAAGGCCTCATTTATTTCATGTAACCCCTATTCCCTAGCTTTATGCTTCTCATAATTCTAAGTTCTTTGTAATGCATCCTTGTCTTTAGTTCATCAATCATGTTTCCATTCAATATTTTTTCAGTCCAAAATGAGTGGGAAGCCTGGCACTTTGTAGGCAGCTTGTTCTGAATGCTGTCCTACAATATGTATCTTGTTTGTGAACTTGGTATCCCATTTTTGCAGTGTTTGTTTCCAGTCTTATAAATAAATAAATGAAGGCTGAGGATGGAAGGATGATGATGAAGGTACAGGCTATCAGTAACATTTATTGTGCCCATCACATTTATGTTCTTGCTTGTCCAGGCCGAAGAATGAGGATGGAGGGGGATTGGGCTCTGTTTGCTATCAAAGAGCCAGATGCCACATGAAAGAGCTTTCAGATATTTTGCAAGTTAGTGCAATACGAGAACTAAGTGGGCATTACTACTCCATGCCATAAATATAAATAGTTGTGGTGGATCAAGTGAGGCATGACAAGCTTTTCCAGGGTAATGAAACTTTGGAGACAGTGTATGATGTTAATTGCTTATGTCTGTGGGTTCGTTTGGTATTTCGAATTCTGTAACTCAGTTAATGGGGTACACTATATTTTTTCTTAAGCTGCCATTTGCTCTCCTTCCAAACTAGCCTTTGGTCTGTGACATTTTAAAAGGTACCATCATCATTCCAGCTCAGTTTTGATCCGTTTTTCTCCTGTTGTCTTTCTGGCATTCACCAACGTGACAGACAACCTGTGAAGGATCGCATCAGGAATGAGACACCTGCAAGTTGTTTGAGCCGATTCCCCGAAAGTAGAACTCATTTCTACTCGATGCAACCAGGTGCACAGCTGATCGAACTGTGCTATTCCTTTGCTCTCGACGAATTGCAAGTACGAGAGTCACTCGAAGTTTTAGAAGGAGGCGCTTGCCGTTGTTTTAGGGCAATGAAACGCCTCACTCGTTGCAAGTACTGTCCATCGACTGCAGTGCACTGGTCCATTCGATGAAACCACCTTACAAAACATCTTCCTCTCGTCTGAAGTGATGGCTGCCAAAAATGTCTCGTCTTCGCCGTGGAATTATTTCCCTTTCGTATCACGAAGGGGCAAGGTCGGTCGAGTAGGGAGGGTGAGGCAGTAGTAGCTGAAAATGTTCATAGGCCAGGAAATCTCGTGGGCGTGCTGCTGTGTGCACTGTTCCTCCGATCCTTCAACCTTCGCGGCTCTCGATATCGAGAAAACTGTAACCATTTTTCTGGTACTCCGAATGCGGAGCACTTAGCCATGCTTGGTGGCACTTTCAACTGTACACGACATCCGCATGCTCATTTCAATTTCGTTCTTTTGCCTTTCTTTTTTAACTTGCCGTTTGATAATAGTTTAGCTAATATATGATAATTTGCCGTGCCTTTTTGCAACAGCATCAGTTAATTGCGAAAGACACGAAAAAAAACCTAAGTTTTGAAAGACCACAACACGGTAAACTTGTTGAAGTGTTGGCTTAGCCAATGTTGAGCTGTGGCCAAGCCGATTCATCGGTTTTCGCTTAACGCCACAACTATTTGAGCACTGCTAGCACCCGCCCGTTCTCGCGACGGCTTTTTCCAGCTGGAAAGGGAGATAACATCTCTCGGTGGTAGTACCATAGTGGTAAGCGCTAGATATGTTTAACTGAAATGATCTCATTTAAGCGAAAATCAGATCGGTTTAATCCTTTCGTGTCCCTTTTGCTATCGCGTCATGTGTTTTGTTTGAGATTTAGCGTGATATATTTCCTTACATGAAAACAAAACCAAGATTTTTTAATGCATAATATTGTACAGAATCTGGTCTTTCATTTCATACCAAAAAAGTAATAGCATTAAAAACTTGATGGCATAATACTTGCTTTCGTGGAAGAGTGCAATATCGCTTACCAGAACCAAAAAAATGGCTCTGGCACTTGAGGGTTAAAACGGGGCTCGTATGGGGATCCCTTTCACCGGACGAATGCGTCCCTCGTTCGAGGCCGTTGCGAAATCGAATCCATTTGAGGATACCTCGTGCATATCATAAATTTTCTCTGACATTTCCGTTTCTCATTCTGGTACCCAGACCTAAAAAAAAAGATGGAATTCGCTCAGTGCTTCACGATTGCCGACGTAGGACTTTCGCGAATCTTTATTTCCATCTCGACGGAAGACGCAACCCCCCGGAAGTAAGATCTCCGCGATTTCCTTCCCCTCGGATCACGTTTATCGGCATGGCGTCGGGTGAGAATCCTCACATTCCCAGTCCACGTTTGAGCATTTTTCACCAGGGCGCATTTATGGCGTTTGAGCATCATCGTATTTTCTTCATTGCAGATCGTATATTACTCTTGAGAGCTCTTCATGCCGAACTTCGTCGTTTCGATGCTGCAGACACCATCGAAGTCGACGTGACTAAAAATTCCAGTTTTGGATTTAGAACATATCACCTGACGATGTTTTTTCTTTTTTCTATTAGGGAGTTTGGAATGTCGGGGATGTTTGATCCATTCTCGCATTCGCAATTAATCTTTCGCATATAGATTACATTGTTTCATAAATGACCAAACAATGGGCGTGCCGTTCAAATTAATATAACGTAGCAGTTGTAAAAGGTTGCAAATTTTACGAACCTAATTCATTCCTGAGAAAAGAAGTGTACAGAAAATTTGTTTCAAAATCGCGAAAAGCCAATATGGAAAGCGTAACAGCGAATCGCTCATGAGCTTTCCTCCTACGGAGCGCTCATTTTCATTGAAGCTCATCCTGGAGAATCAGGGGGAGGCCATGGATTGAAATTCGTGAGGCATCCTAATGAGAATTTCGTGAGGCATCCTAGCGAGAATTTCGTGAATCTCCGGCAGCATGGAAACCCGACAGTACATTTTGGCGCCGTAAATTAGTCTCACGTTCGAAAAGACTTGAGCATATCACGGACCGTATCTCGGGTGATCGACGTTGCCGCGAGGCAACCGAATGAGAATTGTGCGTTTTTGGAGGTTTGCACCCGATCGTTGGAAACGCTTCGCGATGACCTAGAACGAGGAATCGTTCGGATCGGAGCGGGGAGATTTAAAGCCCGTTCCACCTGCTACAAGAATTGATAGGCTTATTTAATTCTTCGTCACGCGAGAAAGTGGAAGGAAATCGCATCGTATCGAATGGATTCATCGTGGGAAACTCGGTGCCTACACGAACCGTGGCGGTCGGGACGAAAGGGAAAGCGAGACGAGGACGTGGACGAGAGATCTCCAGGTGCCGCGTGTGGGATACACGCGGCACCTGGAGGTCACGCGAATCCTTGCGGGATGCAAGGATTCGCGTGCAAGGATTCGCGGGAATCGTCTCTTTCAGGACGCGCTTGGTCGTCGTTTCGGACGTCGATGCGTTTCGAAGTCGGTTCTCCGGAAACTTAGAAACCCTGCTTTCGAGTTTTCGATTTTAAAAAGTTTTCCGAGTTAAATCGCGAAACGAGAACGTGGGAGGAGACGCGGAAATGAAAACGCGGCCGGGTTATACGGCGGTTATTCGAGAATCTGAAAGATCCCGACGCGACGTCACATCTCGTCGGGGCGGACGGGAAGAAAAGGACTCGTCGATCTCGGCCCTCGAGGGCCGAATTCGTCCCCCGAGCCGATCCGCGTTCGCTCCGGATGCGGTGATTCCGCGCGAACCGACGGCAGGAAAAAAAAATTAATTGGAAAATTAATTGGAGTGCGCCCGACGTCGTGATATGCCCCACTTTAAAGCCTTTCTCGTTTCGTTTCCCTTACCTTTTTGACTCGGAGAGAAAGACGCAGTGGGATTCGTATTTCCATATCGCATTTCAAATTCAAATCTCCACGTTCATACTCGGAAAATCGATACGAAGACGAATCCGAGATCGGATCGGACTCGCATTTGAGCCGGATTCCAGCCGGATTCATCATCGACCGGAACACGAAGGGGAAAAGCGTGGGAAGGCGGTGAAGACGACTTCCTCCGAGGGAGGAAGTCGTCTGTCCGACACCCCGACATTACGTTCTTTTCTTAATTTATTACTTCTTTTCGTATGCAGATTTACCGTGTAAATGCCTCCGCTTATTATAAGGAGCAAATGGAAATTGGAGTTGGGCTAAAAACGAGGGAGTTGGAGCCAATCACGTTCAAGCGATTTTTCTCAGCTTTTCAAGGCTGCGGGAATGGTTTGGAGAAGAAAAGGAAATTAAAATGGACAGAAAGCTCTCTCATCGCCTTTCTAAATAAAAGAACGACTCTTAACGACACGAGACTCTTAATTGCGCTAAAATCTGTAGACCTCGAATCGAAACACCCTTCACCTCGAACTTCCGTCTGTAGAACGAACGCGGAGACGTACCGGTGGGAAAATTGGATTCCTTCCGAACCCTCCTTGCTCGTTCCTCATCATGCCTTTCAAGCTTATGGCAGTCGAGAAACCATGCAAATCGCGGATCACGGCGAACATTAACATCTCTAGTGCTCGCAAGTCTGATACCCTTTATACCTCGGGGGCGTTCCTGACGCGTCCGTGTGGGTCGTGCTAATTGTAATTTGACTCCTATCGTTTTAGTGCCGGTGAGATCGGTGAACACGAGATGATACAACAGGAACAAAAGTTATATTATGCAATGAGACCACCGAAAACTAAAATATCACGACGGAACGAGTCCTCAGTCTATTGGAAGTCCGAAATTTTAATTCCTTCGTCCAGATTAGGGGGAAGTCTCGGAGGTGGAGGGGAGGAGGTCACTTCCCCCCCTCCCCTATCCACAACCTCTCTTCTAGCTACGTGGAGACGCCAGACCAAAAGTTTGATACAAAAAAGAGGAATCCGTCTGCCTTCGGTTCGTGTCTATGGAAGGCTGGGAGCAATGGGGTCGGGTGAGAGGCGGTAAAAAAAAACTGGGACGCCGGCGAAAAACACCCTAGCGTCGCCAGTCTTCAAAGCAATTACATACTTTTCTCAGGTGGCAACTCCGTAACGACTTCATACGTCTCCGTTTTCCTGGGTTTTTTCTTTCTCGGAACATAGGATGTTCTTGGAATGTCTGATTCCACCACCCATTATGCTTTTTCCCTTCCTCTTCACTACTCTTTTACCTCGCCATGGAGGGGGCTTACGGGAAAGCTGGTCTATCTTAAAAAAAAAAAAAATTTCCGAGCTTCAGAGGGAAACTATTAATAGTCTAGGGATCGTCTTCGTAAAAGCAAGGGTAAGTGGTATACGTAGATGAACCGGATTTTCCCTTGAAAATTTCCCAGAAAAATATATTCCATAGGGAAAAGGGTGGATGAGCACGAAACCAACACGTATGCATGAAATGGACATCCTCAAACTGACGACTCATCCTAACATTAACGATGACGTCTTCGTTTTGGGAGGAATGATCGAAGGGGACTCACGGCAATCGCCGCGTTAATTTTACTAGAATAGAATGCGTGAATTTTACTTGATATCGTTATGACAAAGGGCTCAAAAGTTTTCGTATTTTTTATTATTATATTTTTTTGGACACTCTCGTCAGTTGTCGTTGCTGACGAGATGAGTATTATGCGGTGTTTCCAGTCATTATGCGCTAGAGTGATTTCCGTGTTCCTTCTTCGCAGAAAGTGGACTAATGTGTTCCAATCACGTGGGCTTCATCTATCCCAACATTCTAAAGCATCTCATTCGTGCCAAAATTTGTGAGAGCCAGCGACCCCGCGAGTTCTGCACGAGTAAGCAGCGGTATCCCATTTCGAGACAACAAATACGCAATTGAAAAGGTTATAGACATTTCAAAACCTGCGTGTTTTTTTGCCGGACAGTTGCATGATTTAAAAAAAAATGTAAATCCAGATTTGTTGATTTTATGAGGTTTTAATATCACAAAGAATTCCAGCTTTTCGTACCTTTACATACATTAATCGACCACCCATTTACTCAAAATCACTCGTCTTTGTTTTACAAGCAAATCGAACATAAAGAGGATGGATGCGGTCGTGGGGCTGCATGGAGTTTCAAGGTTTTTCCTAATCCAGTCATCAATTTCGATCGCATGCAAAAATAGGTGGCGGGATTGCAAACTGCGAAGTACCACTCCAAAACTCACCATGGTGTCGAGTCGGCTCGGTTAAATCAAAACGAACACTTTGCGTTTCGCAGGAAAGACTTCATTCGTAGAATGAGAAAGAGCGGATCAGGATGGGTATTCGTTGTACTTGCGACTGTCGCCTTTCACCTTGTCGCGTGGGTACTTGAGAGCGTTGAGATTCATCTTCTCGGTGATGGCCTTGGGGAGATCGATGCGGCACCGGTCGGCCAGCATCACCAAGTAGATGAGGATGTCGCTCATCTCCTCTCCCACGCGTTCCTTGTCCCGTGCCGAGAAATCCACCAGGCCCTCCTTCACCTCTCCTCGCCATTGGCTGTAATCCGGTCCAAACTCGTCTCGATCATTTCCGTTCGCTCTCGAGTGCATATACATGGTGGGGGAAATCGAAGGCAGAACTTGCGCGAAATGAATCATGAAGGGACTGATCCATGGTTGATAGGGGGTGCAATCATTTAACCATATAAAAGACAGATGATGCTACTTGATTGCCAATAAATGCTTTTTTCAAATGCAAAATTGCACCCTTTTTTTTTAAATACAAACTTTAAAATTCTATATACTGCAACTACTGATATTAACTTTCTGTCTGTCAACTCTTTGGACTTTTGTATCACCAGGAAAGGTCAAAGTTTTCTCTGGGATAACTCCCAAATCCTGAGGATGAAGTAGGATGAATGTGAGTAAAAACACAATGAACAAAAAGCAAAAAGGAATTTATGAAGGCACTCGTTCTGTCCATGTTTGAGCACAAAGCTCCATTTTACTCCACTGATGGAGATGTCTGATAGAGAGCAGCTGTAGATAAGTTCATACAGCATAATTTTTCACCTTCACAAATATTCATGTGGGAATGCATTTAATCTTACTACTAAAGTGTGACGTTTCATAGATGTCACTCACTGTAGGATTTGAGAGTGCAAGAGAATCTACTTTATCAGAAGCCAGACAAAGTACTTGACATGTCTTTAAAGAATGACTGCTGAATGGTCCCATGACACCTTGTTGAAATGACTGGGATCACATATGAAATCCTGGAAAGGGAGAGAAATGGTAACTTTGCTTTGCTTTCATTTCACTCCTACAGGGACTCTAGCAGCATACCCACATTATTCCTGCCTTTCTTGGAACAACCAGTTCTTTGTTTTTACTAAGTATGCATTACTAAGTGCACAGCCCATCCTTTGGGGATCCAGGAGAAATAGAGAGAAAACAATGAGCCCTTCTCAACATCATGATGCAAGAACTCCCACCAATGAATTGATCCATTTAAGGTAACAAAAATAATAGCAATAACTTTTTTGAGCATTCAGTATAGTGACCCAATTCATGTTAGAAAAGGGACTGACAAAAGCTCAGCCAATTCCCCAACCTCCCCAACAAGTGCAAGGAGAACATTGCGGGGAGTGTGGTATTGACCCCAGTTTCGCTCATCCCGGAATCGGCACATTGACTCTCGGCTGAAATCCACAAAGACACCACACCATAGAAAAGAGCGAATATTGTATTCCTCTACCATGAAAACAAGAGATGTAAGAGTGCTCATACATATCTTCCAGGGTGGGAGTGGCACTGAAGGTAAATCCCTGTTTTTTGGACTCTCCATCAGCTTCATTTGATCCTTCTGCCATTTTCTGTGGTGAAAATTCCATGTAATGTTCCATTCCTAGTTCATTCATTGAGACACTAATAAAGCTTTCAATTAGAGATGTAACATTATTGAAAATTGACTGTTATTGAATGTGTTGATAGAGCCTCAACATTTCCAGTAGTGATATTTATATTAAAAAAATACTAAATTCAAAAGTATCAAAATCACAAAGTGTATTTCATTTCTTTTCAGAGTCAACTTAATTCATGAATACTGGAATGTGAATAATGCTGAAACAAATACCCACAGATATGATATTGGTTGATGTTATCAACGATTTATATTATTACACCTCTACTTTCAATACATACATTTACATTATTATTGATTCTGGAATCAATCAGCTTGCCCAAGGCAGCTCCCAGGTCACTTACATCCTGTATTTTGAAATAAATTTAAATACCTAAAAAAATGCAGTTTTTATTGTACCAACAACAAACCCTAATTCCAAGAACAAAGTAGCAGCGAGCAAAACATGGAATCCTGTAAAATATATCACAAGAATCGAATCTGGTCTTGCACGATCAGAGGAGTGGACAACCATTGATACTCGACTTGGATTTGTAAATGCAGAAGAGGGATTCTTAACTGGTGACTAGGTTTACTATAATGCCTTGACATGTCTTCTACTAAGACACTCTGCGAGAGCGGTAGAGTAGGAAGAGGAGACAAGCAAGGGCAGCAGCAGAAGAGATGCCCAGGCCCAGTTGGACCCAAGATGATGAACTCCCCTGTGTCAGCCCATAGCGTCGAAAAAACCTGCACAAAGACAAAACAGACATAAAAAACTCATTCAAATTCCTTCATTCATTATCACTAACACAGCAAATAAGAAAATGCACAAGCAGGACTAGAGATGCACCAAATAAAAATGTGGAATTTTGGCATTTGACTATGACAATATACTTAGTCAATTATCCAGAGCCAGATACACCTTTAATATAGAAGGCAAATGAAGTGAGCAGGTGTAGATTCAAGCAGACTTTTGGAAAGAAAAAGTTTAAACTAACAAATGGCATTGCATTAAACTATTCATGCCACTTGGGTATGACACTTCCAAGTGGGAAAATTAAATCTGCTGTCAAGTTTCACCAGAGGAGCCAATTTTTCCCACATCTGCACAAAACATTTGCAAATTTTATTTTATTGTTTATATGGTTGCAGGAAAGCACTTGAGGTGACACTTTCAGCATATTGACAAATTTACACCCCTAAAATATGAAAAAAAAAAAGGTTTCCAGCATGAATGTGTGCTAAACACAACTATCCACTGTATATACAAGCTATGTACCTGTTTTTTTTTTTTTTAAGAAAAAACAAATGAAAACTAACTTCTACTTTAAATGAGGCTTATAATTTGAAAACAATACAATGAAAATATATAAAATATGACAGCCTACAAGTACAAAAAAAGGAAGACAAATACTTCAACAGTAGGCAAAATGGTTGGCCCATGTGGTTGAATATACCATTCAAATATTCAGCCCATCCTTGGACAGTTTGACTTAGGGCAGAAATAGTTTGATAATTCCATTTTGATATATGAAATTGACATGATTCATTGGTTTGGCCTTCAGGAAACTTCTCTGATGGCCTATGAGTCAACACTTTAATCCCTACATGCCTGAATTATGGGGGCATGGGGTAAATATTTCATTTTGTCTTGTGGATTCAATAATGCTAAATAAAACCATGCATTTTTTTTTACATATTAAATTAAATTAACAGAGTAATTTAAATGAACAAAATCATGAAATTTCATTAGTTCTGCTATTAATACATTCCCAATTTTCTGTCATGGCAAATTTTCTGTAATCTAACTTGCAAAAATGTTTAGGTTCCCTCTCTTTTATCTGCTCTAGATGCCCACAATACATGACTGACATTGTAAATGAATCATCAGACAGCTTGGATGAGACAGTAAAGCTGAGAGCTGTTACTCAAGAAAACTCAAATGTGAAACTGGGGAAATTGATGTGTCTTTTTGAATAGATCCTTTGTGCATGAAATGGTTAGATGCTTTTTCAACATATATATTCTGAAAGATATGAGTGATAACCAATTTCAATCTTAAATACAGCGAGCAAATCCTTCCTGAAAGAAATTCTGCTATAAATATGCTGATATACATTATTATGTATATCATCCAAAAGATGCCCAGTGCACCTGAATCCTGTATTAATCCACTCCAGACCCTCAAACATGTGATAGGTCTAATTGCAATGAGAGAGACTCATCCTGCAATATGTAAATTTGGGTCATCAATACTGACAGATTCCTTCTCTACAATTTAAACTTGACAGGATTAGAACAGAGGAAAACTAGCCTACCTTGCACGGTAGAACAGTTTCCATGCTGCTTTGAAATGACTGAAGTGAACATATAGAGTGAGAGGCAGATCTGTGGGAAGGGATTCCATGGAAACGTGAAAAAACTTACGGATAAGTGGCCATGGTGGCCAGCTTGGTGTAGATGGCCCTGGCTGCATCCCCTTCTAGGGTCCCACTCCACTTGGCCAGGTGGGGGAGGCGGTGGGTGTGGCAGAAATCCTCTGGTTGCACCAGATACTCTTGAGAAACACTTGGCTTATCTCCCTTGCATGCCACCACCATGCATGGCACACTACTCTCACTCAAGTACTTCTGCATTGAACCAAAAACCCAGATTTCTTCACTTCATTCATGTAGTCCAGCAGTTCTCAACTTTTTCATGCATGCACTCTCCCCCCACCAATGACCCAGGATGTGGCTTTGCAATCCATAGTTTAAAATATACTGCTATCATGTAGAGGGCAGTGGTCCAGCAAATCAGAAAAATTGGCAAAAAACAGATAGTCCTCCCATCTCCAACTTGATGCATTTCTAATACACCAACAACATGCAGTTTAGTACATCTTAGGTGATTTTAGAGAATTACATGAATAAATAACCAGGGTTATTTCATCCCAATTCACTTAATAAATAAAAAAAATGTTTAATTTGCCAGCTCTGATTCTTCTCTTCATTTTTTTGTGGTAAGTTTTCTCCAAATATTTATGCTTAGTGATAACATTTTCATTTTGAGGGTGGGGCTCATTTTGCCAAAAATAGGGTTTCTTGGAAGACTCATATCTGGAAAAGCTGCAGAGGTAGCACTTTGACGATGGTCTGATTTCAAGAAGGAAACCTAAGAAATTGGGAACGTTGCCTAGTGCCTGAAGTACAGTAATGCCAACAAAGAAAATAGATTACATGGGAATGGCAAACTTTTGCAAAAAGTTATACTTTTTCATCAGCCACTGTAAATGTTTGCTGAAATTGCAGTGATTTCTATGTCACTGGCAGCATATAGGAGAAATTGGCCTTAAAAAATGGCAAATTCATAAAAAAAATTCCCATTTCTCTGGTCTGCCTTCTTTCATTGTCATGAAAAAAATATATCAGCAGTTCTCCTTTCCACATTATTTCAAATGCTGCCAGCTTGAACTTGGTTTCTTACTTTAGGTCAGAGTTATGAACATTTGAAAATCAGCTGCTGGGTCATTCCATCCCAATTCATCCAATGGAAGAAAGCTGTTTATTTGCAGAAACTGATTCAGACTTTTTGTATGGAAGGTATGAACAATAGGACTCAGAACTTTTTTTCAAAAATATTCAGTGTCAAAAGTATGCTGAATAATTTTTTTAATTTAGGGGGCAGGGCTTGATTTGCTGAATGTAGGAATCCTTCAAGGCCTTGTATCTGAAAAGTTGCCAAGGTTGCACTTTGCTATGGCCTTGTTTCAAAAAGGAGATGATAGAATTCCTGACATTTCTTTAAACTCAAAGTGCAGGATACCAACAAAGAAATTGGGGTCCCAGAAATTGCAAACTTTGGGTAAAAAGATCCAATCTGAACATGTCTCACGTAGACATGACAACATGTAACTCACTGAGTGAACTCAGTACTTGGATGAGACTTCAGTCATCCTTGATGGAGGACAAGGTGCATGCAAATATCCATGGTGAAGCAAATAAAATATGCCATTAAGAAGTCCTGGATAATTGATTAACATGTTGAGGAAAGCTCACCAGGTAGAGCTTGGCAATGGCCTCAAAGGAGGAGGGATTGGATACATCATAGGCCAGACAGGCAACATCACAGTTGAGTTGAGATGGGAGAAGAGCATCAGAGACAGACATCACATTCACTTCCCTCAGGATCAGGTAACGCTCATGCCCATAAACCATCACCTTGTTGGTTGTATAGGTAGGGACATTCTCTTCTGACAGGTTATTCACATCCTTCAAGTAAAGAACAACGTATCAATGAGTTTGGAAATCCAATAAGTGGTGGAGGTAATTGGGAGCAGGGTGGAAAGAGTTTCAATTGGAATGAGGGCATGTATGGAATTTGCATAGCATTCATCATATTCCATCCAAATAATAATAATAATGCACCCAGTCATGAAGTGGTTCATCTTCTAACTCACAACAGGCATTAATGACTTTATTATATTATAAATTCAACATGAACTATTCTTAAAGTTATTGATATTCAAAGCAAAAAGTGATAAAAAAATCAGATAGGATATAACTAGCAGCAATATTTTTTTTTTAAATAAAGGCCTCCAAAGAGTGCTCAAAGAGTGTAGAAGTGTGATTGAGATGGACATTGGACTGACCTTCAGCTTCCGGCCAATGAGTCCCTGACAAAGCGTGGTCTTGCCAACACCTCTTAATCCAATTACATGGCACAGATATGTGCTTCTTGATCCCTGAAGCTGGTCTTTTTCTCTCAGCACTGAAGATAGAGCATTTGGCATGACAAATAGAACCTTAATCAAAATAAAGATATTCCAAAGTGTTCACCTGTAACAGCCGAGGTCTGATCCTCTGTATCTGAAATGACATAGCCAAAGTAGGCCAGGTACTCCATGGTCTTCTGGATGTCAATGAATGTTGCCATCACCCACATGGATAGAAAGCCTTGAAGGGTCATCCATCCCTAACAGTCCACAAAAAAAGGCAAAACAAATCAGTTAACTGAAGAGCATATCAATTTCAATCCCCTGTAGCATTAAAATAACAGACGAAGAATGAAAACAGAATCCATCCAGAATCTTAATATTGTTTACTTCATGTCAATATATCAGTAAGGAAAAGGCCTCTAAATATTTTTCATGCTCATAATCATAAAATCCATTCTTAAAAAATAGCAGGAAACAAAGTAAAATTGCAACACAGATGAAGAGGATCAAAAAGGGAATTTCACTTAATGTCAAAGAGAAATGAATTATACTCTCTAGGTATTGACTACTCTTGAATCATGAGATGAGACCTATTCATGTTTTCATGAACAGGCTGGAAGTACCATCAATTTCAAAGTTCACCATACTGGTACATTCTGTTGCAGTGATTCTGTCATAAATCACTGAATCAAAGTTCTTATCACCAAGGTTTACAATACTTTCTACATTCACCCCAAAAATTTACTCATACATACATATATATATATATATTGCTTTATCACCTCAAGGTTTGTGAAATCACACTACTTGGACATTAGGCAAGAGAGAGTACCATAACAAGCAGACCTTGTCATTGGTGGAGACAGCATAGAAAACTTGTGGTCCCCATGGGATGTTCCCTCCTGGACACGTGGAGAAGAGGTCATTGAGTTCAACTGGACAAAGTGCCAAATCTCGGTCTCTATCATACTTGTGGAACAGATTTGTAAGGAATTGGATGCCAACAGGTGACAACTCCATTCGGGACCCACTTGGCACTTTCAGTCTGGTATATGATATGATACAAGGAAAACTATGAGATATTGATATTGATACTGATAGCATCCAATACTCAATATTCATACTAAAAAAAAAAAGCAATGGAAACATGGGGGAAAATTATCTCACTTAGGATGGAGGTAATCCTGGGACAAACTAAGGGAATCAGTATAACCAAACTTCCTCAGAACAGTCCATGTTGTCTCATGGTACCCTCGTTGTATGAACATCTTGTGCAAGACCAGGAACCCTAGTAATACATGTTTACATGCTGATTCACTTTCCCTCATCATCCAAAACAGAATAGACTGACAAATCTGTGTCATACCTTTCAGTGTGAGAGAGTTGTTAGAGATGGCATCTGGGACAGCTTTCCTGACAGCCTGCTTCACCTCCTCCAATGCTTCTGGTGCAAGTGGGGTAGAGAAGCACCTTTTCTGAAACTCCATCAACTCCTCATCACTCATGAGACCATCATTATCTTGATCACAGATCTACACAAAAGTTTTGAAGCATAAGATCTTGTGACTATGTGGACATTAAGACAAGGAATTTGGCATGTCTTCACCTTGAAAATGCGAGTGAGAGCAGCCTTGCAATTGTCTGAAAGCTCTCGCTCCTCCGTAACGTACAGGGGGAGGGTAGGATGCAGCACACTCTTCTGTGCATAGTAGAAGAGCTCTGATATGTTGCGCAAGGTCTTCGCAGAACAAAAGACGCATGTCTCTATCTCTGGGTACATACTCATTAATGGGACAACATCCTGAAATACATACAGGGCAACACTGAGTACTGATGAGGATGCTATAAGATCATAAAAAAACAAGGGGACCTCATACATCCATGCTGGACTCTTCTATTAGGTCAACCTTGTTCCCTGCTAGAATGATTGGTTTATGCAAGACATTCTCTTCTTCCTCGTCGTAGTTAAGGACCTTCCTGATGAAAGGGATCCACTTAGCAGTGATGGCACTAAATGATTCTGGATCATCCACAGCATAAATGATGCAGATAGCATCTGCTCTCTGGATTTCTCCTGCCAGCTCATTAAGCGTCTGGTCCTGGCCTAAGATATAAGACACATTCACACAGTTCAGAGGTGAAGCTCTATTTACAAACATTGATCTTTTTTTTTATTTTATTCAGATGGCAACACATACGTGAATAATCTATTATGTGAGTTGGCACCTTCTCAGGAGTCACTTCTGGAGGTATGGTGATTTCCTCTGACTTTGCAGGTACAAATTCTGGGAATTCTTCACTAACAAGGGATAAAATGATGGATGTCTTCCCCACTCCAGCTGTTTCAAGAGATTGCAAACTTAAAATAAAATTTTTTGCCAATGGTGGCCTTAGGTCATATGGAAAGATTGAAACACACAGACAAAAAAAAAATGGTTCTTTCACTCTTTTGTTGAGGGCTTGGAAGAGAATAAGAGGAAATCAGAAACCATATTAAAAAAATGGATTGATAGTTGGAGAACTTGTGCCTGGCTATGCCCAGAGTTCTTTTTAGCACCTCCAGGACCATTGCACCTCACAAGAAAAGTATGACATTACCTTCTAACAACTCCTTGGTTGTGAACGCTTCATTCATTTGTGAACAGAGTTACTGGGATAAAGGATGGATTCATTTGATGGAGTTGTAGTCATTACTACTTAAAGAGATATGCCAAGTAAAATTTTACCTGCATTATGAACCAACAGTCCAAGAGAAGGCAAAATAATGCATTGAAGTCTTTAACTTCTTTCATTCACTGTGCTAGTGCATTTAAAGCTCCCAATCAGTGAATGCTGACAAAGGGAAGTGGTTAAGTATGTTTCCTTGACTGGTGAGATGCAATAATGTAGCCATATGTTCTGGTCAATATTTATGCTAATATACCAATTATGGGAAAATCAAGATCCACAAAATATATTGCATAGGCCCAGTCTATGATTCCAATGTGCATAAATATGTTTAAATACCCATTTTGATTGGATGAAAATCTATGAGCACCCCAAAGTGATATAATCCATTCCTGTAATTGTAATAGTCAACCTTTGAAGCTCTTATGCATAACATTAAAGTTCAACTACAGGCATCTAATTGAAAGTTAGACATAGCTTTTAGGACATTTACTAATTTCACCATTGGTGATTAATGCAATTAAGTATTTTTTTAAATTTGGAATTGCCATCAGACAAATATAATATCCTGATGAATTGATTACAAAGAGCCTTCCCTCCAATATGGAATTAATCATGATCAACCAATTGTAAATAATTTCTGAATCTCACCTGTTTAGACAAAAATATTTTTCTAACAAAGTAACCATGAGGAATTCAAAATTGTCATAACCAAACCAGAAAGGGTGATCTGGATATGTATAGCACAGAGGCAAGAAGTTTTCATCTGACAAGTATTTGATTTTCTAAATTTGCAATGTGAAAGCAAGATGGGCAGGTCACTTTGGCCCAAATACTATAAGGATATTCTGTGCTCTCTTGAGATTTGTATGGTCCTTTACAGTAGAAACAAATTTTTTTTAATTTTAATAATCTCATGACAAGACTATTAAAATTTTAAATCAGGAAATCAGTAGCCATTTTCATTATTGTCTTGGATGGGAATCATGAGAGGAGAAATTCTCCATCCATTCTGGCTACATGGGCCTAGCTCAGTCTTGACAAGTCCTGGTCCAACATGGTGGAAATAAAAATGGGGTCGCACAGGAGTAGTGCACTTTATGTAGGTTAAAAATATGCCTGCATTTCCTTCAGCCTTGGTCATAATCAAATTACAAATAGATGCAAGTCTACAGCTTCCACATGCCAACAATATACTAGAATGGTTATGAATATTAAATCCAGGAATATCTAATAACCTTTTACAGTCTAGTGAGCCAAATCAAATGCCAGACCCTCTTCAAGAAGATCATGAAACATTATGCCCAGCCCAGTTAGACCCACCTTACACCAAGAAAAGTTTAACTCTTGCTCACAATATAGTATGAATATTCATAGCTTAGGAGAAGAGTAAAGATGAGATCAGTCTAGTATGTCTACTGTTAGAAGTATTGGCCCCAAACCTCCTTATGCTGCAGAATACACACAGTCAAAGCTTATACCCAACATTGCTTCTACTGGACAAACATCCAGGGGCCGTATTCAATATAGGTCTTATCTCAGTCTTCTATGCTTAGATTTGAGCAGGCCACTAACTTTTTGCAGCTAAGCACCCTACTTGAATGAATGACCCTATTCAATATCCTTCTTAAGCATAGCATCTAGCTGAAGTGGACTGCTCAAATCTAAGGAAGGGTCCCCCATCACTTATGTCTTAGCAGAGTGGATAAGTGGACTAATGTATAACACGAGTAACACTTTTACTCAAGTGCTTAATATCTTCTAAAGAAGAGCACTTTGCGAAAGAGTTCTTCACCAGATAATCAACCCAATCAGCACAGTCACATTGATGTCAACATTGAGAAAAGGTTGAAATGTTGAGATTTGGTTAAAGTTGAAAATCTGACAAAGAATCAACATCAAACTGCAAATCATACATGATGAGAAAAGAATTTGCATGTAATAGCCACTAAGTGACTTCGTTAATCCATGAGTAGTCACAATATGCTGCAAATACTGTTAATTACAAATAGCCAGCATTTCATTTATGTCAATTCTTCATCAGATTCTCAACTTTAACCAAGTGTCAACGTTTCAACCTTTTTTCAACGTTGACACAACATGACTATGCCGACTGGGATCCCACTTGATGCTTATTATGACTCCGACTTGTACAAGTGTTACTGATTTGACACGAGCAGCATTCTTTTCCTCACTGGCCTTCAAGAGGACATATAAGCAGTAGCTCCCAGAAATCACTACATAATCCATGTTACTCAAACCTGTGTTGGTTCACAGTACTTTGTTACAGGATCTTTTCAAACTGTGCTAAATGAGTGGTTGTAAGGAAGTCTCCCATGTTTCTGCTAGTTGGATATTTTGGTAGGTTGTACTTGCTATGAGAGCAAGGTTTCACATTTTGTGATACAACCAGATGATGGTCAGATGGCACAAGAAAGGGATGCCTTTGGTCAATTCCCAGGAGTGATTGATGTGATTGTCGGTATTCAGTTAATGAGTTTAGTTTCTTCAATCACAAGGGATTCCATTCAATAAATGTCCTGTGCATTTGCAACAGTGCATATGAGATCACATGTACGAGCTATGTCTGCCCACTGGCCGGTGGTGTCCATGATGTCCAGGTACTCCACTAGGCTCCTTGTATGGCCATTTGCAAAGTAGAGAAGCCTCCCTTGAAGTTTCTCCCTTGAAGAAAGTGGCTTTCACTTTTGCCAATGAGTGCAACATAATGGAGCACATAGGACAACCATGGTGTAGGTAATATTTGGGTAGGGGAAAATGAGGCTCCATTGCCTACATTCAGAGCCCTGTATGACTTGGGCAAGCACCAACAACATTGCACGTGTTGTCCATTGCAAAAGGTCTGGGGACTTCATGATTATTTGAATGTCTTCATGGATGAACAACGGAATGAAAATTAAGATGGAGATGCATACCAAGACTGTTTGGCATGGGCATGCACCCATCACAAAGCGATTTGCTCTTGTACAGTGCTTATCGAATGAATTCACCCCCCTTGCAGTGGGCAGTGGCGCTGCTGGCTGTGAGAAGAGAGTGACATCTGTTTTTCATCCCATAAACAGCTAAACTAATCACATTTGCGATCCCAGCAAGGTACTCAACTACCATAGACCAGAATGATACCCTGAAAGAGCTTCGCAAACTTGACATAATACAGCTGTTCAGAACGAGCAGGAACCAACATTCCTTTAAAAAGTTCGAGTGAAGTGAACCTTGAGGAATGTCAGAGCACCTAAGTAAAAGTGATATAGTCACCTTGTCATCGACGCAACCACGAAATCAGTCATACATATAATTCTAAAGCATTTTTATTTTTACCTTATAATTTTATAATACATGAAAAGACACCTGGAAAATTTCACATTTCTCAATATTCCGGAAATCCGAAGATGAGTTAAACGAAATTTTAATTGTTAACTTTCTGAATCCTTCTCCATAGTCTTGGTTTTCATGGAAGCTTTCCTTTCCCTTTCCCTTCTAGGAAAACCTCATATGGCAGGCGATCTACATTCGATGTACTTTTTTACAAATAAGAAGAAATGGACTAGAATCCAGTTGATGCCTAAGTTAATGAATAAAATTGATCAAATGTAGAAATACAAGAAATTTGAGCATAGAATGTAATTTTTCCCTCCTCTGAGTCTAAATAATGATTATGAAACCCTTCGTTAGTCAATGGGTATCATTGATATGATTAAAATGAATGAGAGAAAGAAGTTAGGGGCATGTCATTATCTCCCCAAAAGAGTCTTTCATAAATTAATACGATTTATTTTGTTGGAAGACTAAGCGAGATTTAAATGGAAAACTCAGAATGGATGAATACACTTTCCCCAACCGTTTAGAATGCAGGACATAGCGACGTGGGCGACATCTACCTTGATTAGTTGTTATTAGCAGTTACAACATCCGCAGATGCGTCATAGAAAAGCATGGCGAGTCATAAGAGCCCTTAGTAAGAGGGGGGTGAATTCATTCGATAAGCACTGTACATCTTTCCCTTCAGGCAGGTTTTGGTTGTTCAAATGGAATCTGTGGATGAGTACGGGTCCTTCACCTGAGCAACGAATTCTCCTTTAGCGTTGGTTCAGTGAAAGTTCTCCTATAGCTGCAACAGGTACAATGAAAACTACTACGCCTAATACCCACAAATGAATTCATGGCTTAATCTAGGAAATTACTATGCAGCAGCATGGAATATATCTTCATATGCAATATTTGAACACAAACCTGTAGATGTCCTTCATTCCTTGAGCCTTGGTTCGGACACGGCAGGGACTCGCAGCTGCAGAACGACAAATATCTTTATGAATCAAATGAAGAAAAGAACTACACCATATACGAATAGGAGAGACCTCTTTATTCTTAAACGATTGCCTTAATGGAAGTGCTACCTCATAAACTAGGCTTGCCCTTGTCGCAGAATCGCTACCTCATTTAGATTCAAGTAAAGAAAAACAACCGCATGCTGGAAAAATAGTAAGGGATTCAATTCGTTGGCTATTGCAATGACAAGCTGAAACTGATCGATCCCTGAGTGGATTTCTGAGAAACGTACAGTTACACGTCCACATTCCATATGCTCCTGTTACTAACAATGTTTATGAATAAAACGTCTTAGAAACCTTTCGTGCCACGTTGTGCGGATAAATAACACTGCATCTACCACATTAAAGATATTCCCTTCAATTGAAAATACTTCCATATTAGGTTTCCTT